TTCATTTTGATAAAAAAACAATTATCAATTTAAACGTAAATTTCAATTATTTTGTTATAAAGACGGATTCGGAAATAATTTCAATAAGTATATAATCATAATATGAACAAGTTGAATTCACACTTTGTTATTTCCCGTCTCAAGTTCGCGAGATATAATTATTGTTTTTGTTTACTGATTATCGTAGTGATTTTTTGATTGTTTTTAAATCTTTTGGCATTACTGACAAATTATTACCATTATTTACAATTCGAACTTTGACTTGAAATATTAAGTGTAAATTATAACTTGAGTTATGAGAGTGGGCTTTATGGGGAACTGAACCTTATGGATTTGATTTTTGTATCCTCAGAAAAATATTTTTTTTAATAAGGATAGCTTTAATCCTGAGGATACACCTTATCCTCAAGAAACCCTTTAACACTAGATCAAAATGTTGATTTATTTAACATTCAAAAATCAACACGTAAAAAAGTTTATTTTACAAAATTATATCTAATAAATATATCTTTATATTCTTATTTTTCATTTGAATAATATGAACATTTTAAAAAATGAAAGCAAATTAAATTACTTTTCAGCAAAGAAAACGGCACTCCCTTTTTCTTCATATTCTTTTTTCGAAACTTACTTTGTTGATGAAACCGAGGCAACAATTTTAGCATTCACAAAATTTTTGTCTATATCTGGCTCAGCTTCGACATGAAGTGGTAATTGTTTATACCACGAGAGTTTAGTCAGTTCGGTATTAATTCTTTCTTTGAATCCTTTGAACAAAACGTTCCCACCAGAACAATATACACTTCTAAAAAGATATTTTTGCTCATCTTTTGGGAATTGATTGATGGTGTTTGCAATCATATTTGGATCGGATCGATGTTTTTACCGAGCTCATGCAAAATTTGTGAATTGAATATCATCTCTGGTACTTCATATCTTTCTTTACCCACTTCGATTGTTGTTCCATCGTTTAATTGGTATTCCGCTTTTAAGTCGTCATAACTTTTATTTTTTTCTTGTTCAATGTCTTCTGCAACATAACAAAATTGTTGCTTAAGCAAATCCATTTTATGATAAAGAATGGTTGGATTTTCATCGTGTAAAAATGGATATCTTGTAAACAGCCTTTTTTGAAGTTCTTGTGTGATAGTAGAGCCACCATAATTAATCAAAGTACTGTGTTTATAATCTACGATATGCCTAAAATCATCTTTCCCGTCATCATGAAAAGGCAATATTCGAAGCATTGAATCCCCAAAATGTACGACTACACCTTCATTGATTAACAAACACTTTTCTTCTAAAATTGCTGGTCGTTCAATGTAAAGATCTGAAACGTTCATTTTTTCAAAGGCAATTTCAGACATAAAAGTTCTCACATTGTCCGAATCAAAAAAGTCTTCAGTGAGTATCATTCGTTGACCTGATGGATCGGTGTTAAGTCCATCATGCACAACACTATTAATAACATTTTCTAATGTTTTTTTATTATTAAGTCTCCCATTTACGAATGGTCGAACTACATTCATTTCTTTTGCGTGATCTAAAACATTATTAGCTACTAACACAAACTCTTCTTCTCCTGAATAACACGCAGCGATATTTAATCCTGCAACATCTGGCATTTCTTTATCTGAGGTTGTTATTCCAGCTTTGACATTATAAGACCCATTGTCAATAATTATAACAGTAATTTCTTCTTCAGTATTAAAATACATTCATTGTTTTTTTTCGTTACCAATTTAGGTTTTAATATGAAAAAACACTACACAATGTGTAATTATATTTATAAATACTTAAATCTTTAATATGGTATATTATAATATAGTTTCATATATAACAATAATTATTAATTATTAATATATATTCAAATGCTTTATTTAAATTTTTTAAAATGTGTAATGTTTCAATATGTTGTTTCAAGGAATATAATTTAATTCACATAATAAACAATCCTTAATTGTTTATTTGTATTAATAATACAAATAAACAATTATAGATTTACATTTAATATAAACATGCAAAATAACACAATAAATATTTAAGAGTTCATCATAAATAGAGAAAACTGAACAACAGTAAAAATATAAAAATGTTATAAAAAAATTATGCTTACAACCAGGGTTCCCAAAATAAGCTA